TGACAAAGTGTCAGGAACATTCACAGTGACCATTAACAATTTGACTCAAAATGATTCAGGGTCATACCTCTGTGGTGTCCACAGAAACTCTGAGCTGGACATTTTCAATTATGTTGAGCTGGAGGTCCAAGGTGAGAGGTCTTAGTTATACCTCATTACATCAGCCCTAAGATAGCACTGGTTTCTGTCAAACATTCTCCAAGAAAGTTTAATATTTTTGAGTATTGAATATCTTTTGTCTTTCAATCTGACAGAGTGGTGCTGTCTCAACTCAATTAAAATAAATGGCACAGTAGGACATCCACTAACTCTGCGGTGTCCTTATCCTGCACAAAACTGGGATTACAAGAAGCTTTTCTGTAAGGGTGACCATCGCAACAATTGCACAAACGTAACCAGTCAAAGGAGGTTCACATTGCAAGATGATGCTTATTCCAACTCTTTCTTGGTGAGGATCAAAGAGCTGGAAGCAGCCGATGCTGGGACATACTGGTGTGGATCAGACTCACAGTGGAGAGTTGGAAATTACACAAAGATTCAACTGTCAGTGGGTAAGATGAACATGTGTAGATGTGGATAAAGTGAATTGAGCTGTAAATTCCTCCTTTTGGTCCCCTCTGTACAAACACAGGCTGTTGTTGGCAGTTCTAATGTCATTAGAAAATAAGAAAAACAACAGCTGTACTAGCACCATTTCTATGTTCTCTTATCTGACATGTGAAAAATAGTTGCATAGTATTCACACGAAACAAACGTCTGCTAAACTAGGAGTGCCGAAAACAAAATGTGTTGCTGCCTTTGACACCGAGATAACATCTTCTGCCCACTTGCCCAAATAATAAAGCCAACCCTTTTTTTCACGCACAGCTTATCAGATATTGAACCTATCTGCTTGTTAAATTATCTAGGTTTATGTGCTAAAAAAGGTTCACAGACTTCTTAGCACCATATCTGCATGTATCCGCCCCCTCCCCCCAAAGCTTATGGGTGTCATGGAGGATTGTTGTCATAAACCCTGCAACTGCTTGTTCGTCACATAGGCAGAAAACATAAGCTTGAAAACCACAAGCCAGCAGCTTGTAAAGTATAGTGTATGGTTTCACACAGCTCTGAATATTTTACAAACTGTTTTCAACAGCCGATAACTTTCTTACTTACAGCTTCTCCCTGGTGAGCCGCTCCTGGCAGCGTTGGGGGGAGATATTCTTACACCTTGTTTTAGCTCATCTTATCAAATCATTATCCATACCACTACTGTACACTGTATGCAAAAACTAAATAGAGAGAACTTGTTTGTTTAAACAAAACAGTTTTACAAATCATGAAACTATAATTTCACCACTTGCAGCACATTAAAGCCAGTAATTGCAACAGATAGTCTAATCCTTAATCCAATTGAAATGTCATGGTGGGATCTGAGAGCTGTGCATAAATAAATCCCTGCAAACCTGAATGAACTGAAGCAAAAGAAGAGTGGGCCAATATTGCTCCACAACAGTGTGAGACACTGATAGAGTCATACAGAAAACAATTACTTCCAAGTTCTTGCTGCTCAGGTTTGTTCTACAAGCTATAGAATCAAGGCATATACTTAGCTTTTCACAGCATTGGCTTAGAGTCTTGTTTGCAACTGAGCATGAAGTCTTTGAACTGGTGCTGGTGATCATAAGGGCTGCTTATTCTAGTCACTAATACCTGTCCTTCAACATCAGCCTTTACATCAGCAGTTCCTCTCCTCTATTCTCTTCTTCTCTTCTATTTAACTCCAGTCAAACAGCATATCTCAGTGACTTAATATACCTATATGACTTAATGTTATAGTGTTGTTGTACAATATGTTGGATATTTTGTTATAAGAAGTAAGTAGCTATAGATCTGAAGTAAATTGAATGAATAGTTTCAGTGTGATTCAAAACTGTGAACCGGTCAACTGACATATGAATGCTACCAAGTACAGAGGCCTGTTGTTATGTGGACTTAAACTAAATTAGTATTTTTATATATTTATAAGTATTTTTCCTCTGGCAGTCTTTCTGCAGCACACCACCACTGAAAATTTTACCACTACATTGGAAATTGTAAAACCAAATTCAACAGATTTACCCGGTAAGTCTATTAAAGGTAAACTATGTTTCCACATTATGGTAAACATTTGGTATGGGTCCTGAAATTGATATATTTTTTTTACTCTGTTCTGTTTTGGCTTCTGTTTTTCAGATGCCACAGTCTATGTGGTTTTTGCTGCACGCTCTGTGCTGCTACTGCTACTGCTGTGTGCCCTGGTTATAGTTCATAAGTACAAATATTACAAATTGAAAGGTATTTTTTTAATCATAACATACCCATAGCATTCACAACAGACCAATGCACTGAAATTTTCATGCAAAAAAGGCATAAAACTTTCTTATGACGTGTGTATTCAGAAGCTGAAGTCCCCATAAGCAGACATCCACCCAAGGCAGCAGAGGAAGAGGAACTGAGTGCAGCAGATGTACAAAAGCTAAAGTCCATTGTCTGTCATAAACCCTATTACAAATGTCCTCCACTATTCTTTGCTTAACAGTGTTTTCTTTCTTTTTTCTTTTCCCTCACTAACCAACTAGTCCCATCAGATGACCACTCATGTCTGAGCTTGCCTCATCAGTGCTGGAGCCAACCCAGCCAACACTGGGCAAGAGGTAGTATCTGGTTAAACACCATGTTTCTAATATTTTTAGAGTAGGTTATTGTACTACAATAACCTCAGTTTTACCTGAATTTAGAAGCTGGAAATAAGAGGTCATCCAGGCCTGTATGCCATTAAAAAATTCCTGCAGTTTAACTAATTGATGTGTATCATACAGCTTCAAGGACAGATAAAGCTGGGTATCAAATATATTTGTGCATTAAAAGCTTCCAAACAAGGGATACAAATGTATTGCACAGAAAAAATTTTACATTATACTTGAAATTAGTGCTGTCAGCGTTAATCTCATTAAAATCTCTGTTAGCAAGTTAACACGGATCGCCGCGTGCGAGGGGCTGCACGGCGCTAACGCGTTAACGAGCTAACTGCTCTAACACGTTAACACCCTGCAGCCCTTGCACGGGCGATCTGCTGTTTGCTCTTTGTTGGTTCTTCTTTAAATTTCTGTAAATCATGAATTTTTGGTGTGCACGAAAAGGCAGACCTTAAAACAGCATTGTGCCTTTTAGCACAGTGAGGAAGAGATGGGTCAAACTGGAAAAAAATCACAACAGAAGATACTGTTGAAATAAAATTTTCTAATAAGAAAAACAGTTAAACTATGCCAGTACTAGATTATTCTGTTTGACAGTAGCAGCACAATTTAATGTACAACTGGGGTTCACTGTATTCATTGTCTTACTGAAATCGTTTGTAATCCCCACTAGTTTTATTGTTGTGAAATGGTTACTCTTGATTTATTTAATGTTTATCTCCTATTTTTTCTGATACGTTTGTCTTCATTTGTATTATTTGATATAACTTAAATGATGTGCCCTACATGTGACATTTTCACATACCTATGACACTTTAGAAAACCCAAATTGTAAATTATCTACAAAAGTCAATAATTTCATCTGTATTTGTGCTATTCTTGCTGTCCTGGGACTGTTTCATTAGGCCAATAGCTTTTGGATGAGGAGTATATCCAAATACTGCCTTCACCAGAATTTCATCCTGATAATGTCTCATATTGTACATGCCGGGGATATGCTGGGTCCGTGTTTTCATCAAAGGCAGATGCAGCCAGAAGCTACTGCACAACTGCAGGTGGCTCTCATCTAGGAGACAAGGCAACAACAGATCCAGATACATGTGCAGTCCATGAGCAGATAAATTACACCTCCACAGGAGGCAATACGTCATATTACACACCTTGTGTATACATATATATTAGTGAATGTCTGTACTGTTATAACAGGTCAACTGTTGGATGAAAATCGAAAGATTTTAGAGCTGGGCTAAGTCTTCAATGTTTCAAAATCCTAACAATGCCCCTGTTGCACAGCCACAAATTTATATGTAAAATATGCGTACAAAGCAACTCATCAGTGTATTGTTGGATGCGCTATCATGGTTTGGGGCGTTATTTCAGCAGTGGTGTTGGAGATTTTGTCAAAATTGCCACTGAAAGTTTTTTGTTTGTTTGTTTGTTGTGTATTTAGATTTAGAATTTCTAAAGATGTGCTGCATATAACCTGCCTAAAACTTTGGAGTTGTTGTTTTAAAATAAAGTGCCAAAAGTCTCCCTCTACCAAGAAAATGATTTAATTATCATTTGCCCCCTTTTTTTTCCAAAAGGTTTTGGAACTACTATGTACCAAGAGGGATAAAGTTCCCTCTTTTGCATTTTATTGTTTCTCCAAATTAACCATCATGTTTTAACGTAATAATTTCACAAATAATCATCATCTTGAGAACAGGAAGAGCCAAGGATGCTCTTTGTGGACCACAGCTCAAGCTCAACACCATAACCCCAGACATCCTCGACACCAAACTGGACGACCTGCTCCTGGATCAAAGGCTTCCTCACCACCGTCCTGAATCAGAAAGTCCCCCCACATACCACCCCTCAACACTCACCACCGCAGCAATGATCTGAATAATCCTCATCACTCAGGCCACTCACATGACTCTATACTCAGATCAAATCCTTTGCACGACTTCCAAGCACTCCTCTTGATTGCATATATTGCATATATTTCTCCTGTTTGTTATTTATTCCTGTTGTCTTGCTATTTATACTTTATTCCTGCATCCAGCCTGGAGCACCCATAATTTTGTTGTAAATGTACAATGACAATAAAAGGTTATTCTATTCTATTCTATTCTATTCTATTCTATTCTATTCTATTCTATTCTATTTAGCAACTAAACAACAAATTCTGTATACTATACTACAGAGATTTAAAATGGTTCTCTTCTGGTATACGCTGAATTGGTCCCAGAGCTTTATTATTATTTATCGTATTATTATATACTTAGGTTTGTTGTTTGACTGATATTAGCATTTGATGATTAGCCGTGTCATCTGAGCCAACATGTGTAACTAGGCAACACCAAACAAACAAACCTACAGCTTGGTCCGGACTGTTAATGTTAGTGCTGCTACTTTTTATTTGGGACTAAATCTGCTTTAATCAGTCCGAACAAATCGCGTCTTTTTTCTTGCAGGCCATTTGAATTATTAAAAAAAAATGTGCTCGGATGTTGTAGTATCACGGCCTCACTATGACAGCAGAGCTGTAGCTCAGGGGGTCCCGGAGAAAGATCACCTTGTAGCGGCCCCACAGCCGTCCTCGGGCTTAGCCACAGCAGGGTACCGCTCGGCTAAATACACCCCGACTGAATGGTTCTCCAACTACCAAAACTTACTTCAGCAAGCCGGTACCGACTGCCACGAAGCTACGAGCCTCCAGCGAGAGTCCAGAACTTTGTACCAAGACACCGATGCATCCACTTTTAAGACACAGGCCGAGGGAACACGTCGTCTGGGAGAGAGACTACAAGAGATCCACTACTGGAAGTCTGAGCTGCAGCGGCACATCGAGCAGCTGCTGGCCGACACGGAGTCACTGGTGGCGCTGAAGACGCGGCTGGAGAAGGCGCTGGATGCCACCGAGATTCCCTATGCTATCGCCACAGACAACCTGAACTGCAGGGCGAGAAGGCTGGGAGCTGACCTGGTCAGAGACACTGTGGAGGAAGAGTTGTTCAAGGTGATAGACAATATTTCATGATCCAAAATAATATCGCCTAAGTGTGGGCTTGCAAAAATCTGAACGTATAATTATAAGTGAAATTTGTATTTGGATACATTTTCTCAAAAATGTATTTAATTTGATATTTGACCAATTACTGCTAATGGGATATTTTAGACACATTGATATTTTATTTTGGAATAATGCTTTTCAAGTTAAAGGGAAAGAATCGCACCTAAGTTAATGGCAAATGTGAACTAGTGTGATCTGATCAACTTGCAGTGGCAGATTTCACCTCATCAAACTAAGAATGTCTGCTTTTTCTTGTCTTCAGTGATATTTAAACGTATTTGAACAGATCTTAGCTCTTACTGTAATATTTTCAGAGTAAAACGTTTAATAATGAGATCCAGCAGATGGCAGTAACACATTACCCAGTAAGATGACTCTGTCTTTTGCAGGAAGTGGACTTGATCAGGAGTGTCCAGGCTCTTCTGAAGAGAACTACAGCTCAGGTTGTCAGTCAAATCAAGTAAGTTTGAAACTCTGTTTACTCGGAGTAAAACTGCATAAAACGTAGAATTTCATAACATGAAATATTTATATAACTATAAACAGAAACTTGTATTTCATGTGTGTCTGTGCATCAGGTTGAACAGAGAAGCCAAGCACACTTTAGAGATGGACTGGTCTGATAAGTACCAGGCCTACCATTTTGATGACCACAGCGGAAGACACAGTAACATGAGTTCAGATACGCAGCACCATCCCAGCTCAGCTGCCATGCAAGAACAGTGAGTTTGAGCAGCTGGAAATATTACATAAACCTATAAAAAAAAAAACGAGAAACAGTCCTGATAACTTTTTTCACTTGCTGCAGGGTGTCCAGCCACCCATCATGGACGAAGTTTACACAAGACAGCCTGTTCAAGGCCGTGCAGGAGGAACAGGCTACCAACAGTCTCAGGTTAGAGCACATACTAGTTCATATACTGCAGCAGAATCTGAAACTGATCCTGGTTCATTATTTATGATTTGCTTTAAACAAATGGAATCCTCGTGTGTTAGATTGCTGGTAGAGCAGGTGCTGCAGGACACGGCTGAGGATCTGAGAGTCCAGTGCTCCAGCGTTGACCGAGCCTTCAGCGAACGCTGTGTGGAGCTGAATGAGGCCAAGACACAGCTCAATATGCAGCTCAAACAGGTGGATAAACTGACAGACAGATTAAATGACTGGTTATTAGTTGATGATTGATTGTATTATCTCACGTGTAGATCTTGGAGCAAATTGGTGCCCAGGAGAAAAACATTGTGGCTCTGCAGCAGGCCATTCACAACAAAGAAGCTCCACTGCGAGTAGCTCAGTCCAGACTTTACCTTCGCTCCCTGAGACCCAACATGGAGCTGTGCAGGGATGAACCCCAACTCAGGTATGCATGCACAAAACAATAAACTGCTTTGTCTTTCTCACTGCTCTGATTTTTTGCTTCTGTCTGTAGTTTGGAAGGGGAGGTGAAGCAGATTGATGCCACTCTGGCATCTCTACAGCAGAAGCTGAGCAAAGCCAGAGAGTCCCTGTCTCGTCTGGAGGAGTCACGCATGGCGTTGGAGAAAGACATCAACTGCAAAACCCACTCACTGTTCATCGAGAGGGAAAAGTGCATGACTCACCGTAAACGATACCCGACCACTTCGGCACTGTCAGGATACTGAAAGGTTCAACACGTCTTTGTTTGGCTCTTTTTTGTGTTGCTGTAATTAGTAATAAACAAATAAATCATGTGTACAAGAGAGCCTGACACCTAATATTGGAAAAAAAATCAATTTCAGTTCCTTTTCATAGCCACAATATTCTTTATTCATTCACGTATTCTAAAAAGATTGACAATATGTGGCTCGAACAGAACTACTTTGAAGTACAAGTGTTAAAAACTGCTACATCAGAGGAAAACCCATAACTACAGGCAATGTACATAACAGGTGTACAGCTGGGAGAAGACAGGCTAAACAACAAATATAAAATTAGGTCATAGTTTAATGTAAATATGCACTTCTGAGACATGGTTATGACCGATATAAAGATGACTTTTTACAATTAGTACTGAAGGCATTAATATGACCACATATTTGATCACAGTTTTGTATACTGTTCGGTTTGTTTTGGTTCTGTCGTTTTAGCGTTCATAAGTAAAACACATGTCTTCTGTCTCAGGGATTTCTTCATACACATGATCACCATCATCATTATCATAGATGTGCCAGTTGTTCCGCTCCTCAGAAGAACCCAAATTGAAACACGCCTCAACAGCTTGGTTTTCATAAGTCTAAAAAACAAATAGAAGGAAAGATTACAATAACAAAGGAAACTCACAGTGAAATTCAGAGGTCACAATAAGATGGACACGTGGCATAACAATTTCTTGATGATAACATATTTTTTTAACCCACTAGCACCAGGTGCGTCTATTTCTCTGATTTTTTAGCCTAAATTGAGTAAATAGGAGTCTACAGAAATGTAATATTGAAATAATGTACACATTTTAGAGGACATGGTGGGAAGATGTTCCTGAGAATAAACGTAACATTTACAGGACCACTGTCAAAGCAAGCTAAATCGCCAGTACGGTGCAGCGAACATTGCACTTTCGAAATGCTTCAGATACTGTCTCGTGTATTTTCCTCTCACATGATCCTTAAGCTTTGCTTCTCCTGCTTCTTCGGTGTTTATCGTGATTCTGTTCATGGCGATGTCAGCTGCTGGAACAACACAGAAAACAATAAATTAAAGTGCTTGTGTGTGGACAAATCTATATATGTGTTTGTGTGCATATGTGTGTTTTACCTCTCACTTTGGTGCATTTATAAACCTTGATCCAAGCCACTGTCGGTATCAGCATTATAACCAGAGGTGCGGGCAGAAAGTAAACCAGAATGTGAATTGCTGCAGGAAAAGAAATATTTAAGAGAATAAAATCTGCACAGAAGTATCATAATATCCACATATCATATGTTCCAGTCTGTCTAAACAGCAGAAATAGCACCAAATCTCTAGACTGATCAGCATTTGGTACCTTGTGCTCCTTATTTCATTAATAGTTAAATGAGCACTCCTATTTTATAATCACAAATCATTGAAATTTTGACTGTATGAGGATTTACATCACATTTAAGTCCCTTTAACCCAAAAGAAAAAGAGCTATCTAGGAGAACATAAATCTTGCTGTACAGCAACATTTTTTTGCTTCCTGTTTCTGAAATAATAAAATACATTATATATAATAAATACTTTCTGTATTGGCTTTCATAAGAGACATAACTATAAACTCTCACCTTTGACTTGAAGCTCGACAGCAGAGAAAACATCTCGTCCACTGTTTCTTTGGACACCACAAAGGTATAAACCAGAATCCCTTCTGGTCAGTCTGGTAATGCTCACTGTAAATTTTCCTAACACCTTGTCATCATCAAGTCTGAATCGCCCATTTTCTTTGTTGTCAGAGGTGATCAGTGCCTGCTGCAGACATGTGGAGGGCCGTGTTCCTCTGCAGATGTACTTCAGGTTGTTCTGGTACTCAGACTCGTAAGGACAACTGATGGTCACTGAATCTTCTTTATAGCTTTTTATTTTGGTCACACTGTTACAGCAGCTGTCTGTCAGAAAGATAAACATCAAAAATTGTCACAAGTTAAAATACAGACTAAGTAAATGCAAAGGAAAAGATGTCAAAAAACTAAAACAAGTTTCACATTTAATTTTATCCTGTCATCCAAAAATGTGTGCTGGCTCTTATCTAAGCAACATGCTTATATCTGTACTGTATTACTTTTTATTTTTGTGTGTATCCTTTGCTTCCTTCCATGTTTCACGATGAAAGAGAAACCTCTGTTTCATTGTGACACA